GAAACATTTTGTATTAAATTTAAAAATGGATGGAGCAGAACTAGCTAATGACCACTTTTTTCATCAGTTAAATCTCGTAATGAGTTGTTCAAAGATGGATCAAGGAATTTGTAATCAGTGAGAAAAGATGTTATACAAAACTCAGTAACAACAAACTTATGCGTTTCAGAGTATTTGGACGACACACGCCCTACAATATATAACTACTGCATGAGCATTATCATTAGTCATGATCTGTCCTCAATGCAGCGACAGTCTCGCACCATCGAGAAACATATGCATATTATCATTTTCTCGACCTTTTCATGTTAATGAAACATTCACAAGAGTCCGAAGGTTGCCGTTATACGCCTCTGGGCTCAGAGCCTCTTCTGTCCTTCGTGAGTTGATGCTTCAGTTTGTCAGTGCTTGTGTTCTTCCTCATTGGACGCACTGTTCCTCTGGGTGCTCCTCAGTCTTCTGGGCAAGCACTTTTAGGCAACGTTCATGTCATTAAGACATTTATCCCTAAGTGTCGGCGTTCCTACGCATACTTTTGTCAACCCACTTCTGTCTAAATACATCAGTTCTTGTACCTTTCATCAAAAATATTGTCCGATAGAAATTATTCCCTGCGTAACGCTTTATCTTAATGTTTCTCAACTGTGCCCACTGGACATAAGTACAAATTGACATATGCTCACATACAAGCCTCCAGCTTGCCGATCATCCCTTAGCTATCGCATCTTTTACTAAAAGTTTACTCTGTCATTCTAGATCTAACCCGCCGATTTGAAATATGATGGCATCCCAGTTTATGCTTCATTAAAAGGCCTTTTATAGACTCCTTATTCACAAATGTGTCTTTACTTGAGACGCTTGATAACTTGCGTGGTTTTATCCTGAGTCAGAATATGTCTGTTGGCCTACCAGTGGAGTAGTTAACGGATATGATTCTATTGTGCACCGAGAACGTACTGTTTGAATCTAAGGGGACTGCATACAAATAGGTCGACGGGGTCGCTATGGGCAGCCCTCTGGGACCAGTTTTAACCTACATATTCCTCGGGCTGATAGAATGACAAGCCGCTGCCAGCATTGGTGAAGCGAAATGGTACAGACGATATGTGGATGACATTTTAGTCTTCACCAGCGGAGAACATTGAAACGGGCTGTTGACCATTCTAAATTCGATTCGCCCTAATCTGTCGGGATCCCATGAAGTGGAACAACACGATTGCCTGGCGTTTTTGGATATACTCATTAGGAGACTGGCTGAAGGTACACTGTAGCGCACTGTTCATCGCAAATCGACTTGGACTGGACAGTACCTTCATTTCTCAACTTTCGCTCCGATGGCGTACAAACGCGGCTTAGTGAGAACTCTCTACTACCGGGCTAGACGTATTTGCAGTCCCGAAACATTACAAGCCGAAGAAGAATTTCTACGCAAGACCTTAATTTCTGATGGATATCCTGAGAAGTTTATTCAGCTACACAGCAGACCTTCCGGTGTGAAAACACCGGTGTTGACGGCTGAGAAAAGTATGTTTATTTGTTCTTGCCTTCAAGGGGGACCATGTAGCAAATGATATTGGACGCAAGCTCCGGTCCGCCCTAACGCGAACCTACACGACAGCCCAGTTGCGACTCAGTCATACCACGCGAGGATCTGTTCTTCATAACCGTCAGAGCATCCTGTCGGGTAGTTCAACCTCTCACGTTGCTTTTCATTTCACCTGCGGTTGCGATGACATTTACATAGGCAGAACAAACAGTCAGTTAGCTCAGAGGGTAGCTGAACATTTGACAAAGTGGTTGGGACAAGCGGTTACGCAACAACATGGGAGGAATCTGAGAATCAATCGGAGCCCTGGATTGTCTATCACCAAGCACCTCATGACAGCCTGTCATCGCGTGAACGCCGAGACAGCGTTCAAAGTATTATTACGTAACTAAACCAGATAATGCTGGTAATTAGTGAGGCGTTGTTAATTAAGGCCTATCTACCTGTGCTATGGGCACAGAAACGCTTGAGGCAATCAATTCGGTTGCAATGGTCTTGACTGTGACAGTTTGACTGGTGGTGCTTATTTTTTCCATGTATATAATCCCTTGTGTATTTCTGCTTGTTTTGTGTTTACGACTGGAGAGAACAATCGAAATATTGACATATCGCAACCTCTGTCTTATCTCTGCCTTAACGAAATGGTTGCAGGGAACCCACTGTTTTTTCTTTTATGGTTCTGTTTTGTACTCGATTTACTTTTTGCTACCTTGTAGAGGTCGTGTGTGCTGCAGCTGAACAGTCGCCCACCGAGACGGGTATAAAACAACTCCTGACTCGAATAAGCTTTTACTGTTCACAACCAGCCACTGGGCAAGTGCATATCGATACCCAGTTTGGACACTTACTGCACCAACTAACGAACTAGAACCCACGTTTTTCCTTGTCGGTAACACTTCCAAAACCATACTAGTCCACCTCGCTCAGCAAACTTGGCTTCGGATGCGAGGTGATGGAAAATCTCCTTCAAAGAACACAGAGAGGCCATCACAGAATTGATGGAAAAGTCTGATCTGATACTTTCCATATCTGACAAAGGCCTTGTTTTGGTACTAGTGAATAAGTCTGACACCTCCAGGCATCCAGCCATTTTCCATGATACGAGCAGGTTTGTGTATGGGACAGTTCACAAGGAGAAAACCGTGCAGAATGAGGACAAGATCACTTGATTGTTGAAGGAATTAAGGTAACTGATTTATCTAATTGGCCTTATGCTTGGTCGCTTTACTCCCGTGAGCTCGCATCCGTTCAGACAACATGGACCTCCAGTGGTGCCCAAGCCACGGGAACCTCTACGTCCGATGATTGACATGTCTTCCTCCACCTTCTGTCACGAAATAGCATTTGAATGTGCTGGAGCCACTACGTAAAGAAGTTTTACATTCACTCATTAAAAGATCCTTTAGATTTCGTTAAACACATAAAGTATTTAAACGATAACGACAGACTCATAATCCCATTTGATGCAGAACCGCTCTTTACCAATGTTCCGTTGCTAGGTGCCACCAGATATGTAGAAATACCTTACCACGAATAACGAAGATCTACGTATTTTGGCATGCACCACAATTTACCGATTTTGCGAAGCATATTAACAGACAGTTCCTATTTCCTTGAACGTACTACAGGCAAACTTGATGTAGCGATGAAGTGTCACCTAAGACCGCTTCTTGCTGAAGTTTTCCTACCGAAATTCGAACGTAGACCTTTGCAGCCGGCTATTTCATCACTTCATTTATACAGCAGATAAATGGTTTACTTATGAATGGTTGACACATTAATGGTTTGTGGTCCGAACTTAGACGTTTCCGGTTTATTAGCCCAAATCAATAGTGCGCATGCATCATTGCATTTCACCAATGAGATCAAAAGTGAGGAATATGGACCGTTTGGGGACTTTTTATCAGAAATGTTTTTCTGAAAAGTATTTGGGTCGACCAATACACACGCTTTTAAATCTTGTAACTCGGTACCAGAAATGGAACTTAATTCGTTGTCTGCGTTTTCGTGCCGCCAGGATCTATAGTCCGGAGGCGCTTGATTATGAGAAAGATCATATGTTCAGTGGGTCGTAAGACAACGGATACCCTATTCTGTTTATCAGAAAGTCAGAAACGCTAAATGTTTGTCGGGAAACTGTCATGACCGTACGAAAAATGGCGCGTTACTCTCAACTCCATTCATATGGGACGCAGCCCTTGGGTCATCGAAAATTAGGCTTACTCAGTAGGCCATCCGCGAGTGAATGCGCAGACCATCCTTTATCACACACTGCCTTAAGGATAGACTCTCGGCCCAATCCAAATCATACCATATGCATCAATTCACTTGCAACTCTGATGCAAGATATTTTGGACGCACGATCAGGTGTTCTTCAAAGCGGGCAGTGGAACATTTCTCAGGGTCGCTAAGAAGAGGCACGACTATAAACATCAACAGTGTTATCATGGAACGATTGTTCCTAGGCAGACATGAGATAAGGATAGCAGAAGCATCCAAATTTTCCTACTCTATGCCACAAGTTATTATAACTTCGTCCGATAGCATCACACGAAAACAGCTGAAGCTCTCAGACTGATCCAGGCGGAATTGTGGAAGCAGATGGTTCTTCAAAAAGACCTGTTTTCGCTTTGGCCCCGCCGAAATTCCCCGATGTCTGATACTGGCAGCTAACCGTCGGTTATGAGGCCTGCTCCCAAGGAATGGATCGAAATATTAATCACACGCACTCCTCAAGTTCAACCAACTGTGGTTTAACGGTCGTCAATCCAGCGTTCAGTAACGTACTGTTTCGCCTGAATCTTTCTCATATTTGCAATACCCTGAAAGAGTATTATTAAAAAGAGACCTATGCACTAATTGGGATACTAATTTTATGGTTACTCGGGTACGTTACTTTAATCGGTACTGAATTAGTGACGGGATTATCTTGCCCTATGCACGGCAGTAATGCACAAGCCAGTGGATTACGTTCGTCACTAGTAAGATAGACACCTCGAACGTTACCGCACTCGGTAGCTCGGTAGTCTTAACCACAGACTGGTACCAGCTGATTTGTGGCTTCTAGCCCAGTAGATGGAATGCACAACGCTGACGATTTCCGTAAATGTGAAATGGCTACCAAATGCTTTACCAGATGTCTGACTTAGTCTAATGATGCTGAATCTCCACTTGCGCCTAATTGTTTCATTGCAATTTCAACTACTCTCTACAGATTCCCGAATTACTTACTTGGCTCCGATTTTGTTTCTTGCTTGTGGCAAAAACAGCCTCTTCTAAATGGTCTGTGCGCTCGCCTATACTCGTTAGAAACGTATATATAGGTTTGAGTTTTTCTATGGGTTCACACGATACGGTTGTCCAGTGTTCGATAAGGGAGTAGATGTACCTATGTTCATTTCTTACAGCTTTTGACTTCGCTTATAAAAGCACTTTTTGCTGTGCAGTCTATTTTCCAGGCAATAAAATCATGGTTTCTTCACGTGATGCCGTGTGTTTGCTATCGACTGAAATTCGAACGGCCACCTACACGCCGTTAGCCTATGAACGCAGTGCTTTGGTCCCATGGCTATTAATCCCGGCGACTCTAGACTACCACGGTACCGCGAGGGAAAGGCATTACCGGTTTTTCGCAAGCAGTCTACTTCTCAAGCAGTTAGTCTTTATCTCACCAATCGAGATGTTTGGAGCAACTTAGCGGAAGTGCACGAACGAAAGCAGATCACAGGATCAGAGATTGCTGAGTTGCCAGAGTGCGGTGCCCCTCCATTACCAGACGTCGACGCAACCTATGAACCAACGCATCATGGTATCATAGAAGGTGTGGTCCACCTTAATCCTTGGCTAACTGAACTTAGTTCATATCTATTTGTAGAAGTGTCTGCACGTTATCGGTACGCTCGTTCTGAATTAGATCCTTTTGATTGCGAAGTCAATGAAGTAGTATTCCAGAAGCGAACCCAATTGAACCCACCAAAGAACTATGATCGGATTGGGGCCTCTTTACTACGCAGCCCACCAAAGGAGCTATCTTCCTATTCTTGGCGAACGCGGCAACTATATAATAAACTTGGGGGCCCCGTTGGAGGTCAAGCGGAGATAGATGAAAATTTGACTGCATCAGGTGTCTTGGTCGGCACGGCCGCACACACTAGAAAAATGCGCACTTTCGTACCCCGAACAATGGCCACCAAAACCTCGGGGAACCCGGACCACCCGCTGGTAACATTTAATTTTCCATTCCGATTCGACGTAAATGGGACTCCAGATTCTGTATACATGAAAAACACCCGCAAACCTGCCAGTGATGGCACCTCCCCACCACCTAACAGAATGCAATTGTTTTACGGTGCTGTCTTCGGATTCGCCCATCACGAATCTGATACCGATCCTGATTCGCCTAGTGAGTCAGAGTGCTCTGATGACGAAGGTATGTTGGTCATTCGACACCCTGGAGACCCCATTGTAGACCGACGAAAACCACCAAGTAAAGAGAAGAAGAAACGTCAATGGGAGAAAGACCTATTCCATCCAGATTGTTATCCATGGCGTCCGCGACCGAAACAAGCGCCTCGAGATGGTGTCTCCTGGACTATTTCTGCCTACGTAGTGAGCAGTGGTTCCGGCAAACCCAAAAGTGAGCACGTTGCTTGCATGCGAATTCGGAAACTTTCCTATGTGCCCCGTATGATTGCTCTCGAACGAACGACACCACCGAAAGCTCATACAGATTATTGTCTTGCGGTGGGCCCGCTTTCTGGATTCGATTCCGGTGCAATCACATTAGTAGCTAGATTGGATAAGTCCGTGTACGCTCCAGGTGAGCCAGTTCAATGTGATATAAAACTTCACAACTCATCGGTTCGTCTCATTCATCGGTTGCTAGTCGAAGTACACCAATGTCTTCGAGTTAAGGCGTGTGCTAATCGGGTTTGGAGATCGTTCATTTGTCGTCGTTCCCTGACGGATACCAGCCTACAGACTGGAATGCCAGTTTTACCAGGTACGGAAAATGAGTGTGTTCGAGTGACATTAAATCCATGGCCAACGGTGGAATCCATTCGTAAACATTTCAATTATCCAAGCGGCCCACTTCGCCCTAGTGGAGTCGAGAAAATGGAGGAAGCATGGGCGATTCACCTCCCACAAATCCCTGGCCAAGAGTTTGCATTGCAAGCACCAGGCCGTCATGAATCAGTTCCGCCACAACACATTCAGCGGAGGTCACTGGCCACTTCTTCATTTAGCGGAGTGATAGAGCACCTCATGCTTGTAGGTGAGTTGCCATCTATCATGAAGGCCTTGAATGAAAATGAATCACGAAAGAATATATGGCAAGGAAATCCACACGCTGTTTGTCGTTGTGTACATCATCCACGAGATCCCGATGCTGTAGATCGTTGCGATCACCTACCCCCGAAAGAACCTTATCAGATTCCGATAAACTGCCTCGATGTGTATCCCGAAGATAATGAGGTGAGTGAAGCCCGCGCCAAGCGGAACGCTTTGCAGCCTTACTGCAACAAATGCGTCGGGACCTTGTCGTTGGCCCAATATCCTGTTCATGTTTCTTACGAAGTTGTTGTTGCAGCGGAATTGCTGCCACAGCATCAAAAGAACCCGCTGAATTCCGAATCTAAAATGCAGCAAAGCGGATTGGGTTCTGGGTTATTAATTGACCCATATGGTGACATCATTGGTCCAGATGGGCCCCGAGTTACCTTACCATGTTTCCTAGCTCACAGGAAACCATTCCCAGAAGAGCGTGTTCCCGTGGCTAACTATCACATCGATCAGCGCCAAGATTGCATGGATCATGTAGTCATTCCGCCAAAGGTGTATGAGCCCAGTTTGGGCAAAGGATTTTTCACTTCGACTACACATCCGATCGCTCCGTGCAATGTTTCCAGTTAAACAATGAGAGCTGCCATCTTATCATTTCAGTCGTTCGACACTGTATCCGTTTTCTTGCCTACCACTAGTTCATTTGGATACATATCCAACGCAATACATCGCTACGCAATATGATCTCATGTTTTATCGATGATTTTTCTCCTCCCCTTCTACTCGCACGACAGCCGTCCTTGGTAGCCAATTACTCGCGTTAGTTCTTTGCCATCTAGTTGATCCTGTGAAGCACTATCGAGCACTTGGGCCTTTTGCGCACCTGCAACTTATGGTGCACAGTGCAAAATGTTCTTCTGCCACGACAATTTCCCGTTTGTTTGAGTGCCTGCAATTCATTTCGTTTTAACCCACTGCCATCTGTATAGCGCCACTGTACTAGCAAGTGTTACTATGATGATTAAATGTGAAGCTGGACATGTATGTCATATAATTGAGTTTTGTCACAAAATAGTATTGTCATAGCTGTAAAATTTAAGGTTAGTGACACCGTGCCTCACGTTACACAGTGGCTATCTACATTAAAAAATCGCTCAGCATCAGCGAAATTTCACTATCTTAAAAGGGCTGGGAATGTGATACTCCAGTCACTCATTTAAGTGAATGTTACGGTCAAGTTACGATCAAGAACGTTGACGTGATTGCGTTCACTTGCGTGATAAACTGGATTTTGCTTATCGATACTGCACTCCATGGGGCGAAGTACTTTGATGACCATCCAGTTCGGTAAGTTGCTTCAATGCTTCAAGCGCTTATTTAGGCTGTGAGATGTCGACTCATCACTCAAACGAGTTATACATCGCGGTTGTGGGCCCGGTGCTACCGTATGGCTCAGGGGCGTAGGCAGTGCGCTCTACCTTAAGAAACCAGTTGTCTTTGGACCCAGTTGTTTGCAAAGCCCACTCATAATTTGCGGGACACCCAATGAGTACTGTTAAAGTAGAACAGTCCACGCCGCTTAGGTGATTCTTTTCACAGGTGGATTAGCTTAGACTTATCTGCGTGTGTCGTGACATAATGAAGCTTAACCGAGTGATGGTAACCAAACCCTATTGTCGACGGGCTGTACCCGTCGGTGTGAATCACTATGACCTCCGTTGGTCTATATCTCAATAGCTGAAGTCAAGCCTTCGCCCGTGAATCCTGGTGGTCAAAACGAGCTGCTAAGATAGATGCCGCTGCGTCGGATGGAAACTTGCGCAGTTTATTTTACCTCATCAGGACCACTGGTCGCAATTCGCATGCTATCAGTCAGAGCCTTTGTGAGTAAGACGGCACGAAAAGCACAAACTTACACATGGGCTTGGGCCGCTGGGTGGAGAACTTTGCTTTGCAAGTTAACTATCCGGCAGAGCCCACTGTGACTCCTCTGTTTCCATCGGTTGGTGCACGGCCTGTCCCCGCAGATCTTCCTGTGGAAGCAGAGATCCGAAGCGCAATCCAGTCATGGAAACGCCATAAATCTCCCGACCATTACAGCTTACCCCGACTCTATACAAAGTTGCAGCAATACACTTTCCAGCGAAATCCTATCACTGCTCACTTAGGTTTGGACTGACGAGAAAGTCTCAGTTGCATAGGGTGTATCGGTCTTGGCCACATTCAAAAGAAAAGCTCCCGTGAAGATTTTACCATTTACCGCGGAATTTTCTTGTTCTCTGCTGCGTCTGAGATTTTGTATCTGTCCTGTTCCGCAGGCTTTCGTCGAGTATAGAGGGCGTTTGCCGAGAGGAACTAGACGGTTTTCGTCTAGCCAGAGGTTGCCGCGATCAACTTTTCACACTCCGCCAAATTCCTGAACTCCGTGACGTGCACCACCAACCTACAATCGTATTGTTCTTGTCCATCGGAGCAGCATTTAACACAGTAGCTACATTTGTGTTGTGGAACTGTCTGCTAAGGGAAAACGTGCCCGACAAGTTTATAATCAACCAGAAGGAACTCTACAGCCGCAAGTCGGGCAAAGCCAGGACTTACAGCAAGCGCTCCTCTCCGTTTATTGTCGCTAGCGGTGTCCATCGAAGTTGCCCTGTCTCACATTTCCCCTTCAACTTTTTCATTGAAGCTGCCATCCAACAGGCATTGGAAGACATCCAAAACTGTGGTATTGTGATTCTCCCAGTTCACACAGTCGCGGACTTGGAGTAGTCCGATGATATCGTTTTACTTAGGGACGATCCACAAGTCGCCCAGAGCGCTTTGAACTGCTTACCGATGGAGACGTTTAAGTATGGCCTGTATTTCATTCCAGGCAAGCGCAGTATACCACTCCAGAACTAGGAGATACCTGTGCTTACCCTCACTAGTATTGATGATGATTTGGAACAAGTCACGTGCTTCACTTATTTAAACAGTTGCAACACAGCTTGCGACGAGGTTGGAGATGAGGTCTCACAACGGATCGCGAAGGTGCGCCATGCATCTATCCAACTGAGACACATATGACGTCGTCGAGAGATCAGTCTCAACCTGAAGAGCAAGGTGTACAGTGCCTCTGTCTATGCGATTCTCTTGTAGGGCTATGCGCCTTGACCCATTCGCTCGGAAGACATAATAATAATAATAATAATAATAATAATAATAATAATAATAATAATAATAATAATACATATATTGCTCCTGATGCGAGAAACTGTCTGTAGCGACACAGCTCAGTTTGTACAAAAGTATCCATGCCGTTGCGTGGGCGTTGTGTGTAGGTGGAATATTGTGGTTGGCGTTTCATGCAGTAACGTTCTGATGGATGGTTGTGGCGAAAGCCAAGTATTGGGAAAATTAGTGTTTAGATATATTTGGCCCCTCTTGGAGTAGCACATCAAGGGTACTTTCCCCTGTGAATATAGGAATTATAGTATTGAGATCAAGGTAAATGGAGAGTTTGCTTCTAAACGTGGTCACATTATCACATGACCTGAGGGTGATTGGTTGTTTATTCCACAGATCGCAAGATCTGACAAGCAGGAAAGTAGAGAGAGTGTTCGTTCTAGCGTTTGATATGTTCAGTGTTAACTTTTCATAGGAAAATTCTCTGGGTGAGCTATGTTTTAATTGGAGTGTAGGGAGATCGGAATGGTTCTTTATATGTAGCACGTTGAAAACAGCAACAAGTTATGCTTCAATCGTCGAATCCGAAGTGGTCCGAGCTGAAGTTCGTTGCAACGTTGTGGATAACTCATACCAGAGTGCTTACTTATCAGGTGTTGGGTAAACGACTTCTACAGGTGCTCCACTGAAATTCTGTTACTCTCTCTCATAATGCCGTATATTAAGTTGGGGCCTGTGAGTGCCTTAAAACTCAATTCTAGCATGGGTTGTGTGGATTTGGCCGGATATATTGAACAAAGATTGTCTGGTACGTGCTACTTGACATTGGATTTATTCGGAGAAACGGAAGGCAGATGAATACTTTATTTCGTTATCACGCATGGACAGCCGTGTAGGGATGTGTTCAAAGTTTAGTGTGATGGATCCTTCGCGGGTGGCACAGCCATAAGACATGATGATTGATTTCGTACCCGAAAGGTTTAGGACCTACGTGTGGCAACATAACTCAATGCAATGTAATTCATCTTGTATGGGTAATATCTTTCCGTGAAGCACGTCACGCCGAAGCTTATGGACGCTTAGAATATCGTCGGCAACTAAACCTGGCCATTCATGCTTTACAGGTGTGGTGATGGCATTGCTGAAGGACCGAAAACGCTCTCTTGAACAACTCCACTGGTAACAAAGCGAGGAGAAAAGAGATAGTCACTTAGGATGCCTACCTGGTAACGATTACTCATGTTTGATGATAGACAACGTGATAACAGATTCCGGATCCCAATCGCCCTCATCTATTGAAACAACCACTTGTGAGGTGCTCAGTCGAATGCTTGTTGTATGTTCAGAAATAGAAGTACTACTGCATAGCGAGAATCGACCGCTTCTGACATGTAGTTGGCAGGTGGTCCACGATCGCTTGCCAAGTAAACCAGGCTGCGAATTATTTGTCAGCCCAGAGAATCGATAAACTTCATCACATACATTCTGATTAGCTTTCAAATAACCGAGCGATTATTGGAGTGCGATGGATTGGCCGGTAGTTGTCAATCATTTGGTTCGGATCTCCTTTCTGCCGAGACATGACAAATGGCATTTTTCGTTTATCTGGAAAGTGGCTAACTACTAGTGGTGGGGTAAACCTGCTCATCAGGAGCAGTGGTATATCAGACTCTCCTAGTTGAATTGTGGTTGGTAGATTGTTATCAGATCCCAGTTTGGAAGGCGGCTCGATTGCCTTGATAATTTGGTGGAAAGAGTTGAGCGAGATTGCGTTTCGGATAGCAGTTTTGTTACCATAACCTTTGTGTACACAGGTACAGCGTCAGCTTTCAGACTCATGGAATTGGCAAAGAAGTCACTGGAAGTTTCACAGATTACAGCTGGGTCATGAACCGATTGTGTTTTTGACATTCGTTGTGTGCAGAGTATTGATCGCGTGGGGGGGCAACACTAAGGAAGCAACACAGAATTCCGAAACCGAGTGCTTAGTGCAAACAGCCCATACCTCCAAAACGTTGTTCTCCGACACCACATGCATTTGCACGGCCTCGTATTACTCAAGTCAGCCTATCGCCTTCCTCATGGAGAGTCATTTGGGTGCCCGGAAACCATTGGAAAATGGCCGCGGTGGGCAACTTATGACGTGGAGAAGGAGCATGAAGAAGGGAACTTCAAGTATAGCAAACGTCGGACCGGTGCGCATTCCAGGATGGAGACTACGCGACTCGGAGTGCGAGTGGTTGGAAACACTGCAGGTTATGGCGCAACAGACAGCAGTGGTCGCACACAGCTAAGCGAGCTCCTAATTCGTCAACAATTACAGCGCTGCAGCACTAACACTCGAGGGTGGAATTATAAGCTCCGGAAATGCGCCATTGATATGAAACGAAAAATTGGGACATCGTAGCAGCGATCGAAACTTGGTTCTCAAACGACATCCTAGATGCAGCGATTGAATTCAGTGAGATGTCAGTCCTCCGAAATGATCGTCCATTTCGCCGTGGCAATGTTGCCATTACTAGCAAGATTACGTTAACGTTACTTAACATTCCCTTGTTATTCCTGACACGTTATTTGACTGCCTGCCACTAACAGGTCGACAGAATGGACCACAGAAGAAGACGAGTGATTCTTGTCTCTTGGCAGTTGTGTACAGGCCATCGAACCACTCCGCAGTGACAATATTCTGTTAAACGCACTCCATTTATGCCGTTGCAAAATTGTACTCTTGTTACCTTATAATGGACGACCTCAACGTACTTTCAATAGCGTCAGTGTCCCCCCAACGGGCCATCCTTTAAATCAAAACGGGAAAGCATGTATATAACCATGTGCGTCGCCCAATCAGACACCGCGGTCTAAACAAGCCATTGCTACTGCACATAATCTTGACAAATGAAGAT